TACCTCTCCTGTTTAGCTGGAGAAGCCAGACTGCAGTGCAGTGCAGATCGGGTGGGGTGCGGGTGGGTGCCCAGGGTAGTGAAGACACGTGGGAATAGCTGCGGGGTGGAGGGCGAGGCCTGGGCAGCCAGGGAGACGGGAGTGCAGGTTGCTGGGGACAAAGGCCCCCCCCAGACAGAAGTGCTGGTGTGCCCCACGGGACCCCTGAGGGGCTGGGGGGGTAGGAGTGGGGACAGCCGAGGAAGGGGCAAAGTTGAGAGCAAGAAGACAACCCAAAACACCTGCCCCAGGGGCTGCTCCTCCGAGCTGGAAGAAAACCCTGAAAGATAGAAAAAAAAAATAATTAAAAAAAAAAAAAAAAAAAAAAGGAAGCAGGGGCCCAGAGGGAGCAACAGTGTCGAATATGGCAGCCTTCTTTTCCAGGCAGCTGGGAAAAGAACGCCTGCTTGCTTGAAAGCAGCTGTTCCTTAGAGAGCCCGTGGCGAGCAGCAGATGAGATAATGTGCGCGAGCAGGGTAAAGGCTGTGAAAGTGCAAGATACTATTAGCTAATTAGAATCCCTCAAGCCCAGTGATGCCCGAGTGCTTAAGATGGCCTCCACCGATGGGCTAGTGGGCTTCGGTAGCGCCAGGTTTGGGTTGTCGGGAGGCGAGGCGTGGAGAACCGGGTGAGTAGGATTGTTTCGGGGTGTTCTGTAATACAGCAGCGGAAGGAAACGGATGCTGTCTGTCCGTTAGGTTCTTCTTATTTGATTATTCGGCTTCAATATTATTCCCTCAACTACCATTCATTTGGGGGGCTCTTTGCTGCATTTTTTTCAATCCTCAAAGAGTCTGAAAAGGGAGGAAGGCACCACTTAGAAATATATTAGATACATTTGGCTAGGGGGGCACTGGAAGCAAAAGAAACCGAAGAAATTATCAATAAAGTCTCAGCAACGTCCCTCCTGCCCAACCCCCAGGGTACCTAATACATCCCTAAGTGAGTCTGGGGCTCCGGAGCGAGGCTCGGGAAAGCCTGAGCGGTAGATTGTTCCCTGGGCAGAGGGGATCACTGTGCTCTCAGTGCCACTGAATGTCAGAGCCCTCAAAGACCAGGACCTTACATACCTGCGGCCAGCTTGCCCAGCCCTGAGTGAGGGAGCCTGTCACGAGCCACTCAACCCTTCTAGCAGGGCTAGACTGTTGAAAAATTCTTTATGCTGAGCGGATTTTTGTCTCTGTGCCGTTTGCTCTCACTGGAGCCGTATGGAATAAAATGTCTAACACTGCTTCCACAAATATTTGAAGACTGTGGACACATTTCCTCCTTCCACTCACTCCACAAGGCTCCTTTTCTTTAGATTAAACATGCCCAGTTATTTCAAACAGCGAGGCAGTGTGGGCCAGTGGAAGGAACCACTCTGGCTCTGGAGCCAGACCATCTATGTTCAGCCCCCAGCGCCTCGGTGGTTGCACACGGTACCCTGAGACACAGACTCTTTCTCAGGGATGAATGGAAACTCTCACCTAGCCGGTTCCTGAGAACATGGGGGTACACGGGGCCATACATGTGCTCACAGTAGAGACTTCAGCTAGGCTAGTCGCTCTGTTTTGAGTCTCACGATTTTCGGAGTGTTTTAGTTTTACCCTGAATACATTAGTGTGTGCCTAAATGTCTCTTAATATCTATCTGTGAAGCAGAATAAAATAGTCTCAGTGGTGTTTGAAGAGTAAAATAGTACAGGACTAGGCTATTCTGGGTAGATTGTCCTAACTCCAGACACAGTAGCTTTTTTTTCTACCCCCCTCCGAAAAAAAAAAAAAAAACCCAGAGCCATCTCACTGTCCTAAAGAAACCTTTTTAAAAATCAAGTAAAGCCCCAAATCTCTTTAACCAAGTGTTTTTGTTCAAACCAGTCCCATTCCGTACTTTCTTAGTTTATTCAAATTTGTTAACTATGGCTTTGGAAAGCGGCTCTGTCCTGTAGTCTACAAGCGCAGTTGCATTTGTCCTATTATTACAGCGCTTAAAATGGGGTCAGAAAAATAATGATGATTGAACCTACAGTAGAAAGAAGCCGGGCTGGTTTCTCACTGCTTGCTGTTGTGAGACCGTAAACCGAGACGTTTCTATGCTGATTTTCGCACAAATTTGAGGTGCTGTTATGAGGTGAACCCACGTTAGAAAAGGAATGTGAAGGGAATGTCCGACAAGCTGTTGGCCGAGGGAACTCTGCAGCGGGTCACTCTGCCAAGGATAGTTTGGAAGAAGATGGGGGGGGGGGGGGAGCACCAGCGGCAAACTCGGTAGCCGAGTCTTCATTTATGAAGTTTCTCTGTTTCTCAGGCGCCCCCAGGGTTTTTAGAACGTAGGTCAGATTCTCCCCGCTGTGGAGGAAGCTCCCTCTAGAAATGTCAGTCCTGGTTGGAAGATTTCCTAACCCTTTGAACATTAGAAAGCAAAGCTCTCCCCAGCCTTAGCTGTTCCCAGTAGTCGCGTGGTCCTCGGCTCCTTGCCTTTGTGTCGGAGTCGCTAGCAGCTTTCTCTGTCTAACCAAGTTCTGCGGTCCACGCCATTTCAACCGCATCCCGCCCTTTACCAGCTGAGTTATTCCTAGTCCTCCTGAGCAGGAAGGATTCCCCTGGGCCTGGACTGGATTGCTTTTGTGGTTCGGCGCTTTCACTGACTTTACTCCCCTCGGGGGCTTAAACGTGCCCATCCCCACGACCCTCTTGTTCCGTGTGTGTAGACTGTTCCCCGTCTTCAGAATGAGATCTTTTGTGGGGCATTCAGTCCATTAATTAGAAAATTGCCTTCATCTTAGATGCTGGTGCTTCGGCCTAGTGAGAATCAAAGTGGGATTGTTTGTAAGGCTCAAAGATTCCATTGACAGCAAATATGAAAAAAAAAAAAAAACCCATATACTGCAGAAGCTTTCCGCACGGGCAGTTGCTAAAATCAGAAAGCCTTTACTCTATAGAAAACACTAGTTTAAATTTTAAGTAATTTGGTCTTTAAAAGGTTTGGTGGTTAGTTAATGTAGGCAGGTAATCCTTTCTTGTAAAGGTACTAATTTAAATTGCGGTCTTACAGGGCTTTAAATACATCGGCCCCTTCTCATTTAGGACAAATTCCACATTCCTTCCGATGGACTATACTTTCTGGTCCCCCCTTCCTCCCCCAATCAGTGCTGGCGCCCAAAGGAAACACTTTTTTTTTTTTTAACCAAAGGTTACGCGGTATGGAGCCCCCAGTGCTTTGCGAAAGCTGTCCCCGCGGGCTGGAATGTTCTTTGTCTCCAGTAAATATCTATTCATCACTCAAGACAACCCCTTCCTCCCTCCCCTTAATTACTTCCTCCCCTGTGCGCCCTCAAATTCTTGAACTTATCCATGCGGTATTTGTTAGGGGCCTGCTTTGTGGCCCACCCCATGGCGGGATCCGGGATACAAAAGGTGAATGAAAACATGGTTCAGACTTTGAGGGTCTTACGATGGGAAAGACGAGGCCGACCTGTTAGTAAATGTTCTGAAAACAAAAATAAAATGTATAAAGTGCCACGCTCCCACCCTTCACTCACTCATAACCCCGTGCATCGCCCTGGGGAGGTTCTTACAATCATTTATTTCACGCCATCCCCGCAGAAGTATACCCTCGACCGCGTTATGCGTTCTGAGGACCCTCTCTGAGGTGCTGGCACTTTCAGTGTCTGTTGCGTGGCCCTGAACTCTAGGACTGTGGTTAGATGCCCACAGGTTAGATGCCCTCGGGTTCGGCTGACCGATTGCGGGCCTCTGGCCGAATCTTGCTTGCCTGCATGGCCGGGCTTGAAAACCCGCAAAGCCAGAGCTGCAGCAAACCAGGCGCAGAAAAGAGGCCTGCAGCGCCCCCGTTGGGCCAGTCTGCGCTGTGTCCCTAGCTGGCGCCGGAGCTGTTAGAATTTCACTGTGGCTCCAAATGGCACACAGGCACCACAATGCTTGGCATTTGGCGAAGGTGCGAGAGATGCCTTTTAAAAGGATTATAGATATTTTAAAAAGTCTCTAGATTTTCCTGCACTTCTAGGGTGTTCGCATTGTGATTGTGTTATGCACAAATAAAGGAGGCTTGGACCCTGATAAACGGTCCCCAGCTGGGCTTCAGCTGGATGCCGCAGCAGCTTCTGGCATGCCGACCGCAGCGTGTTGCTTGCTGCAAAGGAAGTGTACTGGTGCCACCGTGGTGTCGGCAGTGACTTTGGTCGGCTTTATGTGCTCACGGCCCTTCCATGAATGTGTCCACTTACCCCAGCGTAGGATACCACAGAACTTGTCGGTTCCCTAGACATTTAGTGTGCCCTTCCTTCATTGTTATCGTGGGTTAAGGGCTTGGGGTTGCCGCGCTCTGGTGGACCGCATTTTCGAACGCGTAATCACTCCTAGGATTTAGCACACACTTAGGATGTAGAAAAGAAGTGGGTGGCACAACGAGCACCCTAGCCCTGAGGTGATTTATGCCTAACAGCTACCTTCTCGGGCTGGGGACCTGCGCGTACTCCAAGGGAAGGGTGTGTGTGTGTGCGCGCGTGTGCGTGTGTGTGTGTGTGTGTGTGTGTGTGTGTGGCGGGGAGTCTCAGATATTTGCTATCTTTGCCTGAGGCATTATCACATGGAAAAGGTTTTTTTTCTTCAGCAGAATGTGGGGTTCAGGATTAGAGATCTGCGAGAAAAGAGGGGGTCGATAGTCCGGAAGGCGCCCACAAGAGAGGCCCCCCCCTTCTCTGCAGCGATGGGGAGGGCTCTGCAGAGGGAGCGGGAGGGAGGGACACCGCAGCATGGTGGGTGGGTCAGGGGCGGGGCTAGATAGGCTCTAAAAGTCGGTGCCCGCTCGCTCCGCTCTGCCGCGGCCACCAGCACATCCCGGTGCCTCTTCGCAGACGCAGCAGCCTTCCTCTGCGGCAGCCGCGCCTCGCCAACCGGCGCAGTGCCGCAGGCTCGCCCGAGAGGCCGCTCGCTGTCTCAGCCGCCGCTGCCGCGGGCCGCCCTGAGCGGACCGTGGGCTGCGCCGACGCCACCTCCGATCCTGTACGGTTGTGGGCGCCTCGGCGCGCCCCGTGCTCCGCAATCCTGCGGCGAGCGGCATGGGATAATGCGGCCATGGTGCGCCGAGACCGCTTGCGCAGGTGGGTGCTGCCGGCCGTGCCGCGAGGGGGGTGTGGCCGGCCCGACTCCGTGTGGGTACCTCTGCCACCCCGGAGCTGCCCGTGGCAAAATCCTTACCAAAAGGTGGCCATGCTGCCCCGGCTGGAAGGTGGTCGCTCGGCCCGAACTCGGGATCGTCCTTGCTGGTGGTTTATTTTCAAACAGGGGGTCAGCTGCGTAAGATTTAGGAATTTTAGGATCTCCGTATTACCCTGGTGCAAATTAGTTTTTTTTTATCTCCGTCAGGGTCTTTGCTGTGGTGTGATTTAGGCGGTGGTGGTGGTGGTGCGGTGCAATTTAGGTTTTGCGAACCTCGGTAACGCCCCGGTGTAGAGCTGGTCATTGTTGTTGCGTGACTTGGGATTTCTAGACCCTGGTGTGTGTTTGAGGATTCGAGGAGTCGAGACTGCCACGGTGCGGTTTAAGATTTCTGGAATCGTAGTGGCGTAGTTACCACATAGGTGCGACCGGACCTTGCCGCGCTGTGTGACCGCGGCAATAAGTGTTATTCCGAAGCCAGAAATGGGAACCCTCGGGAGACCGGGCACGCGGCCAGACTGTTAAAACGTAATGAGAAATGTTTGCTTCGATTTGTGGGTTCGCAGTGTAGTTCTCGCTAAGAAGTCTTTAGATGGGCTGGTTTGGTGGTATTAGATCAATGTATTTTTACATCATTGACAGAAATAAGAAATCAAGGCACGTAAAGTTTGTTACGGGGGTGTGTTGAATTTTTAATCTAAGTCATGGTGCCATTAAATAACGGGGATTTGACTTAAAAATTTGTTTAAACCTTTCGCCTGATTGCCAGTTTGCTTGACTACTGAAAATCATAAAACGTTGGGGGGGATTTTTTTTTTTTTAACCAAGTAACTAAGACTCCCTGGGGGGTTGCCCCCTTTCCTAAATGGAGGAGGTGCGCCGACGTACGGTGTGGAGAGCGTGGGTGTGGCACCTCTGTTCCCAGCGCAGGCGGGAAGCCCCTGTTGGCTCTGCCGTAGGCGCCCCTCCCCGTGTTCTGCTGAGTCACTGCAGATTCAGTCTGAGACCCGCTTGGATGCCCCAGAGGTTACGTGAAAATGCATGAACAGGTAACAGGACCGAATGGAGGCTGCGGAAAATAATCAAAAATAATAACAACAACAACAAAAACAAAAAACCCAAACCTAACGCTTTTGTTATTTGCCTTTCAAGGAGGTTCGACGGTAAAATCAGTTAGCGGATCACAGACCATCACGTCCTGGCACTGTTCCAGTCATTTCTTGTATTGCCTTGAAAGGTAGAACCAAGGCATCGTGACTGTTTATTGAACAGAGACTTTGGAGGGCAGAAAAAAAGCCAGAGTCCAGCCGCAGTCTGAAGTTTAGGCAGGGAATTGAGGATTCTCAAGGTGTGTCATTTTTTTTATTTTTACCACGTCAGGTTTAGTGCTGGAATTAACATCCCCCCCCCCCCAAAAAAAGAAAAGCCAATTCTGCGAGATTGCAGGTAATGTGCCGTAGGGCATTCTTATATACAAAGTGAGCCAGCAAGCCAACGCTTCTCAGGACTCTGGCGATTAATTTGTTTTACCTGTAGCTAGCCTCCTGACACCTCTAGTTCAGTTTAGGAGGCATTTTCCAACTTAGAGAACCCTTTCCTTGGTAAAATAGTTTCTAATCTTGCTTTAAATCCTTGCCTCCAGGGGAGATAAATTAATCTGGACTTTTGAAATTTGGGCATAGCAAGCTGGGGGCACAAATTTGTGCTAGACAAAACCAAGTCCTGAGTGCTAGGTGTGTGGGTGGGGTCTTAATTTTAAAAAGGGAACCGCCTCAAGAGTCTGCAAAGAAAGCAAAAATAGAATCTGCTGCCCAGACTTCTAAGAGATTAGATGTTCAGGGTCAGGGCAAAGCTGCTTACTGGAATGTGAAGTGCTGCGGCCATCTTGCTTTCAGTATCTTCCCCTCCCCCTCATCAGTTTCTTAGCCCAAATCCAGATAGTAGGGCCAAATAAGGCTTCGCTGGCCAGAAGGTGTGTATTAAAATTAGGAGCAGCTCTCTGCTTAATGACAGGTAATAAATTACACATACGCTTGAAGATCACATATGGAAGAATGGTGGTAAGTACTGCAAAGGGTAGTGACGTTTTTTACGTTTTCTTGGTAAACTTTCCTGCCACGGTCACGTGGTGCCAGTTTTGCACTCCATGTTCTGTTTTGATTTTTGGAAATGTACAATGTTACCTTGGCTGCTTTTCCCACAGGATGAGGGAGTGGTGGGTCCAAGTGGGGCTCCTGGCTGTGCCCCTGCTGGCTGCGTACCTGCACATCCCGCCCCCTCAGCTCTCCCCCGCTCTGCACTCATGGAAGACTTCCGGCAAGTTTTTCACCTACAAGGGACTTCGCATCTTCTACCAAGGTGAGAACTGGACTGTGGGAGAATCTCACAAACTTGGGTCATGTGGGTCTCAGCTGAGGTACTTATTTTATAGCCCTTGGTCTCTGTTGCTCCGCAGTGACGGGGCGGGGGGTCGTGGGAAGGGGAGCAACCCCGTTTGTGTAAGGTGTATCTGGAGTATAACGGACTAACTCCTTTTGGTCTTCTGAGAACAGGGCACTCAGCAATGGAGAGGTGGGGGTGGGGATGGAATTGTACCTAATTCAGGAAGTTTCTTCCAGTTCCATTTGTATTTGATGTTAGTTTTCTCTTGAGCGCCCCTAGTGTCAGGTAACGTGATATTTAGCGACCTGTCTACACCTTTGCCCCCCCCTTTCCGTTTGTCATTTTATTATTTTCCATGATTTGTTATATGTATCTAAAACTGATGAGATTTACTGGGAATTATTATGACTGCCACTTAATTACCACACTCACGGCATTCTGTTATATTTTTAATCTTAATTATCTTCATTTTTCATTTAATTTTTATAACAGCACTTGGAGATAGGTGTCATTAATCTCATTTTATAGGTGAAGAGACTGAGAGACAGATTGGAAAGATTTCTTTTGGGCGGGGGTCAAGAGCAATAACGAAAAATGTTTGTTTTTCGTAAACCGTTTTTCATTATTGCTCCTGACCTCCTCTCATTGGTTATCCACAGTCAAGTAAGTATGAAATTTTCCTTACACTGGCTTGTTGGTTCTTTTCCAGAATTAATATTTAGTGCTTTATAGTATTTGTAGATTCGTCAGCCTAAGTACAGTACATGATATTTTTAACTGCTTCTAATTAAACAATTTTTGAAAGCTTATTACCAATATTTTCTGCCACTGACAGTATTAATTTAAATCCAGTACTGTGGCGAGGATTCTATTGTTTGAATAATCTGAAAGATGTCACAAACAGAAAAAAGTTTGTCATCATTAGCCCATTTTTGAAACAGAATTCTGTATGTTTGTTTTGGAGTTGGGTGTATCTGCTAGCATTGGATAAACAGTGCAGAGAATCTTAGTTTGTTGTGATTGTAACATTTTAATTGGTTTTATTTTTTATTTAGGTGTTTTACTTTTTACTAAATGAAAAATAATTTGCATTTTAATATTGATAACTACAAGGGAATATCTCTAAAAAATTTAAGTGATAATGAGCAAATTGTTTCAAGAATTTTCATGTAAAGTATGCCATTTACAATTTAAAATACAGATTAAGAGGAAGCTCCTCTTATCTAGTAAGCTTGCATTTTAATATCATTAATTTGGTCTGATCCTTTTCTACTGAAATATTTTGCTGTCTTCAAGGCTACTTTGCAAGGAGTTTGCCTGATTTCTCTTTTTCCTCCCTTTAGACTCCGTTGGTGTGGTTGGAAGCCCTGAGATAGTTGTGCTTTTACATGGCTTTCCAACATCCAGCTATGATTGGTACAAGGTAATGAAGTTTGATTTCTAGGTCCTGCTATGTCCTAAAAATATATTCAAACTCTAGATTTTTTTTTTTTTTTGGTCAGCCCTTGCAGATCTGAACTGCTTGATAAAATCCCATTAAATATTGAATTGCTTTTCATGTACTATAGGGGAGTAAAAAATTGGCTGCCCAGAAAGAATCATTGCCAAGTTAAGGCTGGAGTTTTGTTCTCAATATATTAAATGTTAGGAATCATACCCTTTCCCAGAGCATCACCCAGGCCTGTGATGGTTTCATGGGATTTTTCACATTATCCAAGCTGACATATAGGCATGGGTCTTGTGCTGTGGGCAGGGCATTGGCGCGTGGGAGTAGAATGCACATCATGCTTGCTTTTTTTACAGATCTGGGAAGGTCTGACCCTGAGGTTTCATCGAGTGATTGCCCTGGATTTCTTAGGCTTTGGCTTCAGTGACAAACCGGTAAGCAGCAGTGAGGTGGTCCCCAGTGATGGGTGGGATGGGTATGAATGCAGGTCAGGCTCTGATGATGTCATGCTATGTCTCTGGCTCTTTCCTTAGCGACCACATCAATATTCCATATTTGAGCAAGCCAGCATTGTGGAATCCCTCCTTCGGCACCTGGGACTCCAAAACCGCAGAATCAACCTGTTGTCTCATGACTATGGAGATATTGTTGCTCAGGAGCTGTTGTACAGGTGAGACCAGACTTCTGTCCTTGGCACAGATGTCAGGAGCTTAAGATGATGGGAAGTCAAGTGGTTTTGGGATCTTCAAACTCTGGGGGCTGTCTGCAGCCCTCTGCATGGGTGCCAGCTGCTCAGCTACACGTATGTTTCTTCTTGTCCTTTACAGGTACAAGCAGAATCGATCTGGCCGGCTTACCATAAAGAGTCTCTGTCTGTCAAATGGAGGTAATTGCCTTGGTGGTGGGTGTAAAGTGGGGTGTAGTCTAGGAAGGCCACCTTTCTAAGTCATAAAGACACCTAAGTGATAATCTGATATTATAAGCAGACACTAAACACGGGACATCTTTTACCTTTATTGTGCCATGAATAGTTCTGATAGTTGATGGCATTTATGGAATATATGTTTACAAACATCTAAAAAATCAGTGGGTGAGGGTGCTTGTTGCTAAATCTGTCAATATGAATTTGGTTCTGGAACCCACACTGTGGAAGGAGAGAACTGACTTCTCAAGTTGCCCTCTGCCCTTTGCACACGTGTCTTGGCACCGATGTACTCACGAACACAATAAATACCATGGTTTTTGTTTTGCTTTGATTTTGTTTTTAAAGAACTGGGTATGGTGGTGCATGCCTTTAATCCCAGCATTTGCAAGGCAAAAGCAGGTGGATCTCTGAGTTCACAGCCAACCTGATCTATGTAACATGTTCCATGACAGCTAGGATTACATGGAGAGATCTTGTCCCCAAAACAAAAACAAACATAACAAACAAACAAACAAGACTACCACAAATGTGATCTGATGGTCTGGCTGGGAAGTTGCATTAGTAAACTCTTAATTGGTGGCAATGCCAGGTTGTCAGGCTGGGAATGAATGAGTATTATTTGGAGCTCATTAATTCAGAAATGCCCAAATGCCCCCATCTGAATGCCTTTTGGGTGGCTTGGGAGAATAGTGGGTCTGTCCCTTTTATCAGTTCAAGAGAAAAATACACATACATGTGTGTTTGCAGACCAGTTCATTAACATCAGTGTGTATTCTGAGCTGAGGAGATACTGACGGGAGTTTAGGCCTAGGCATCAATGCATTATGGAAGAGCCTATGAATTACTTTATCCATTTCTGTACCTTTAAAATGAGGAAAGTAATATCAGGGTGTTGGAACTTGACTGTTCCACAGAGAATCTTGTAGAAATTAGCAGTATAATCATTCTTCAGATTGGAACACATGTATGTAGTTTCCATGTTGAGTATAAGTTGTTACGTAGTGTATAGCTGTTTTTATTCCTAATTCTGTTTTGGCAGTGAAAGCTCCAAATGTAACAACAAATAGGGTAATTAGTTTCTGGCAATGGCTGTCTTTCTAACTTGCAGTTTTCGGTAAATGGGTAAATGTCTCTCTTTCCACAGGTATCTTTCCTGAGACCCACCGTCCTCTCCTTCTTCAAAAGGTTGGCAGTTTTACTGCATAGCTCCTTAGTTCAGATGTCTGCGACAGTAAAACAAACAAACAAACAAACAAACAAACAAACAAACCTGGGACCCTTAAGGGTCATACTTGTGGTGATGAGCCTTCCATTGAGATCTTTATCAGCAATTCACATTAATCAAGTTAATTTTTCATCCTCAATCAAATAAAGCAGGCTCTCCTACATAAAACCTACAAACATTTCTGAGAAATAAGAGATGACTATTTAGAAAAATAGAACTACATGAAGATCTGTGTCTTAAGTATGATGTTTAAATAAATTGAGATCCTAGGCTAAACTTGATGATTTCATCAGTTAGATTTAGGGGTTATACATTTTCTTTCCCCAGAAGAAGACATGGCTAAGTTCTATTTTATCTGGTGTAAAAACATTTTGTCAACTTTCTCTGGATCCCTGATTCTTACTTGCACTTCTGACCTGCAGCTCCTCAAAGATGGAGGCGTGCTTTCACCTATCCTCACAAGGCTCATGAACTTCTTCGTGTTCTCTCGAGGGTAAGTCATCAATCATCAAAGCCTGAGTGAGCTGAGAACAGTGTAGCCAAACTTGCTGCTATTATAGGGTTGGACCAAAGCATGCCTGGGCCTAGAGATTTTCTAGAAGAATTTCTGAATTGGCAAAGGGTCAGACAGTATGGCCTTCTGAGGTCCTAGTTCTGTCTGGCGCTCTGACACTGTCTTAGCATCTGTACTCTTTCAGTCTGACTCCAGTCTTCGGACCGTACACTCGACCCTCTGAGAGTGAGCTATGGGACATGTGGGCTGGAATCCGCAACAATGATGGGAACTTGGTCATCGACAGGTGAGACAGGAACCTTGCTCTAGGCCCCCGTGGGGCTCTCTTGGAGAGAGGGGCAGGTGCAGGATTATGTTCTCCTCCTTGCTGGCATACTCCCTGTCCCAAGGGGGCTGGTTAGGAATTATGAGATGAACCCGAGACAGTCCTAGTCTGTGTTTTCCAACAAAGAAATCAAGCACAGGGTGAGTTACTCCTGAATTATTTGGCACAGAGAACGTGGATAAATAGTTGCAAATCTTAGTGCTTATTTGCATGAAAATGATTCAATGACTTTGACATATCCGTCTTTAGACTTTTGGTTAATATTCAGTATTTCAGAATGTTTTAATCAGTTTCGAAGGAAGCCTCAAGTCTCTTAAGTACAAAGCTCTTCTGCTTATTCCTGCAGTAGCAATGGCTTGAGAAGCAAGGCTTTGGTTTAGTAAGACTGTAGCGGTCTCCTTGGAAAGACTGGGAGATGCAATATATGCATCGCTTCTCAAGATGAGGCCTGGCCTTTTGCGAGCTGGGTCTGACTCCCAGTGCTCTAAACTGCTGGCTTTCTGTGAGAGAGCCATTTCTTCCTCCCTATCCTAGCCCACAAGATATATATATATGTAAAATATAAATCAAACTGAAAACAAGTACACCTCTCTTTTAAACACATTATTCTCATATTTTGCCTTGCTAACTGCCCCAGAGTTCGGGAGAGCAGTCAGGGCTGCCTGCAGTGAGGCTGTTGGCAGCTTCCACTACAGGAGGAGTCTTCCACTCCATGGTCAGATGAAGTATAGTAATGAAGCCATGAGCCCATAAACTTCTACACTTTCATTTTTAGAGGTGGCTATCAACTCAGAGATTATGTAGTTTGGTCTTAGTTTCAAATGAGGAATTTAGGTGTTTAAAAAAGTGTTTTGTTAGAGTCACAGAGCTGGGATCAAAACTGGATTCTTAGACCCAGGTTTTAAATTATATACATTCCAAACCAACTGTAATCCTTCTGAAGATCTCATTTCCTGCTTAAGAAATGCAAAGAACATAAGCGCTTATGTTGATAGCACTGTTCTGTCCCACGGTAGTTAACACCAACGGCTGAAGTAGGCTATTCCTGGGACCTGAGGCTGCTTCTGTATGCAGATGCTTTTCTGGACACTGCACTGATACTAGTTCTTGCTCTGCTTTTGCTGACTCTCCTGTGCTCTAGTCTTTTACAGTATATCAATCAAAGAAAGAAATTCAGAAGACGCTGGGTGGGAGCACTTGCTTCTGTGACCATCCCTAGTGAGTATCTAAGTGCAATCTTCTGTCACTTCTTGACAGGGACCCTTGGGGAATAGTGACTTAACATAATTCCCACTCATAAGATTTCCATGCAGGGCTACCAAGGTTAGCAAATGAAAACAAGTCAATCTGAGTCTTGCATAAAAACAGCTACTTTTAGTATGTGACCAGGCTGGCCTCACTCACAGAGACCCCCACCTGTCTCTGCCTCCAAAGTGCCAGGATTAAAGGCGTGTGCTAGCACCGCCCAGCTAACTGCCCAGTCTTTATTCACTGGCAACCCTATTGCAAACACCTGGAATGCCAGAGTGAGGGCGGAAGGCACTGAGCTACTACATAGATGGAGCTGGTATGGCTTGCCTACCATGGTGAAAATGGAACTGTTGGGACAGGAAGCTAGTAAAGTCATTAATGACGGTCATATGGTATGGCGAAGGGAATCAGCAGTGTCTCACATACTATATGTGATCAATATGTCAGAGGTCAGAGGTCAGTCACAACAGAGGGAGCAAAGGATGATGATTCTATCTACACCTACATTTCTAGAAAGAAGATCTTCAAAGTGAGCTTATTCCTTTGGATTCAGAGTATACAAGAGCAAGAAGGGACCAAATGGTTCTATGTAGAAGATGGACTGGCTTGTTCTATAAGTTCTTTATAGCTCACCAAATAAGAACATTTTCTACAGAAAAATTTTATTCGCATATTTTTTTAAATAAATGGAGGGAAGTTAATTTTAAGGTAGCAACAGAAGCATAGATGTGAGTTGTTAGAAATTCCTTCCTCTTCTCTTTCCTAGTTCATTTTATCTATGGGCCATTGGATCCTATAAATCCCTATCCAGAGTTTCTGGAGCTGTACAGGTGAGTCCTCAGAGGTTTTGTTTTTGTTAGATATTTCATCTTAACAGGTCTGTTGGCACTAGCTATTGCCTCCGATCTCACTGAAAACATAAAATAAATAGACCAGTTAGGTATAGGGAATCTTATTCTCACCAAAGGAGATTTGATTATACATTCTCTGGATTCATACGTCCTGTTTTCACTGACATGGTTGTTATATTATTGCTAAGTATAGAGGAAAGGGGGAAAAACCTTCATGTGACCGGAACCTCTTATGGAATGTGTTAGCTGATTCTAAAGCCAGTTCACTGACCTCAACTGAGCAGGCTTTTTCATTGGTTGTTACTCCTTCAGGGTACTTACTCAGAAGGTGCTGGAATATGAAATCTTGACTGTCATGTAAGAGTGTTCCATACCTTCATGTGTCCTAGTAGATACAATCTGGCAATAAACAGCTTGTTTAGAATTTTAAACAATCTCCTCATGAGATTAAGGAAGGTTCTTTGTTTATCTTTGCTTGGGCAGTGAGCTGCAGAGTGAGCCACCTGTTGATGCTTCTCTAAGGAGCTGAAAGTCATGTTTTGAGGACTGTTACAGAAGTGTTGTATTTGCAAGATGTTGTCTGTTGTGTTCTGAACAATTGAAACCAGTCTAAGTGGAACTGGCAAGTTTATCTGGCTAAGGTATAGTTCCCAAGTAGGAGATGAACAAGCTCTTTGTTGGCTCTTTCCAGTGTGGTATGTCTGTCTACATGGGCATTTATGGGGCTTCCCATGGCTTACATCCTCTCATCCTCCAGCCTTAAGTTTACCTCCATGCTGTTCTCTTCCACTAGGAAAACGCTGCCGCGGTCCACAGTGTCGATTCTGGATGACCACATTAGCCACTACCCACAGCTAGAGGATCCCATGGGCTTCTTGAATGCATATATGGGCTTCATCAACTCCTTCTGAGCTGTAAAGAGTAGCTTCCCTGTATTAATTACCTCCCCCATTCTCGTATTTGTGTGTATTCCACTTAGAAATGCCCCAAAGAGGTCCTGGCAATCAAATACTATTCTTTCATAAAAGTCCATTTGATTCACATTGGTCAGCAAACTATAGAAAACAGGCAGCAGAAACTCTAAGGATGGCATGCTAATCCATCTCTCATTCTCTTATGGGTGACAAGATACTCCTCCCCTCATTTCTGTGACATCTGACCAAGTGTATGGATCTTCTTTTTATTGTTATTATAAAATTCTGATGAATAACACTTCTCAATTATGTAGAAAGACAGCATTGGACATTGTTTTTCGTAAAATACTTAAAAAAAAAAAAACCCTAACTTGTGTGGACTTTGCTGAAATCCTCAGAAATGCTAACTTGTGGCCCAACCATAATTGGAGTCCTGTAGTAAAGAGGGAGGGAGGAGCTTGCTTATCTCCCGTTCAAGCTCTCTATACAGCACAGCTTATGAGAAGGACTATCTTGTCATGCCTTACATTTAGTTTCATCAGCTGCTTCTAATTATAGACATTTTGTTGAAATACACATTGGCTTAGGGGGCTGGAGATGTAGCTCAGTGGTAGTGTGCCTGCTTAGCAAGCTAAAGCCCTTGGGTTCAATCCCCAGAACTGCACCCCCCCCCCCAAAAAAAAACCCCTTACCAAACCAACAATGTTCTGAATATGCTTTTGAGACTTATTAGCATACTCATGTATGTATTTTCTAAGGGTATTAAGATGTTGGCCCTTACTTGCTAGAGTAGAGAACCTCATCACACATATAATTTGTGAATAAAAAGATTCAAATTATTTACAGAATTTCCTAAAACCACGAGGTATTAACCAGTTGTATCTGTGCCAGAGCTTTATTGTCACTGGCTAGAAAGTCCATGCTGAACAGTAAATAACAGCCTTCCTCCTCGCAACAGTACTTAGGTGCATGTTCCTCCAGTTTGAAGTGGAGGCGAGGGGCCCATGTAACAGCCAAATGCCCACTGACTCCTCTTAGGATGGCTGCTTAGCACCCACCCTACTAGCTGTTCAGCAAGGCTTTCTCACGTAACTCAGCAACTCCCGTACTGAGATGTAAGAACAAATGCTGAAAGAGCAATGGTGCTGAAAACTTTTTTAAGCCACAGTTTTAACTTAGTTAAAGCAGCATTATTGATTATTTTAAATTCATTTTTTAAATTAGAAATTTCAAGTATAGCAACTTTGAAACTGGAATGAATGAGTGTTTATTTTCTATTAATAAAAACAAACTGTGACAAAAATGGATTCCGGCTTCCCCTCCCGCTCCACCCTTCTGGGATAAAATTTTCCAACATTGCCAAGAGTTTTCACACATTAAATAAGAGCATACAATGAAGCCAAGCAGCTGTAGAATAGCATACATAGTATCTGGTTTTCAAGATCATTCAAAGCTGCATTGTCATCCCAAAGCTGAACAAGTGAGACAATGAGAAGGGAAGAAACACTAAAATCCATGCACAAAGGCAAACATTTGCTTGATCTGCTGGCTCAGGGCCAAACATTGGATTTGCTTCTTCAAAGTCTCTTACTCTTTAAATGAGACTCTGGGAAATTCATGCCATAAGCTTAAAAACCACCAGTAGGGAGAGCATAGCCAACACCACCTTTCCCAGCAAGAACTTATCCTACAGAAGCCAAGACAACATCCACAGGTGTTCTCTCTTTGCTCCTCACAGTCACCTGCATGGTCACTCCATCTGCTAAGGCCAGTCTAGACCGTACCAATAAGTCATAGCCACCTCTGTATACACCTGAGAGAAAAAAGTTAGAGAAAGTATATTAAGAACTTCAAATAAGCCCTGACTAATGGAATTTATCATGTTTTGCCCATACCTCCTTTCTATTATTTTAGTTTCACCTTTATAGAAATTTACAGGAAGTGAATAATTCTAATTTTTAAATGTTCATATGAAAACCAGGTCATGGAAGGTATTGAGTATCACTAACTTAGTGTACTCAGGGAGTGGAGCTGGCATCTGTTAGAGATTGAAGTATTTTAAGCCATTGTGCTTCCTAAAAGAATAACCTAAGGAGAACCTGTACAATCAGTTATTCATTTTGAATTCAAGTGTCAAATTGTTAAATAATCCGATGACAGACAACAACAGGGCAGGGAGTGCCTATCCACATCCTTTCCTTTTAAATTCTATACACTTGAAGGGAATGCGGATGGGAATCTCTTACCCGCCAGATAGAGGGAATGGGAATTCTTATTCTCAGGTACTTTGTCTGATCTCTCACATGGCTGCATGCCCAGAAATGAGATGATGTTGTTCACAGCCTCTGTTGAGAAAGTTGATGTGACAGCATTAGAAGAGTTGAACATGAGGGTCTGTCCTAGGAGCTGCAGGTACAGAGGCTACTCCTCTAGAAAATGGCTGATTTGGTCAGATGATACAGACAGGTAACTGGGTTTTGAGTAGATGACTTAAACCATACTCAACAGAAAGGAGTTCCTTTGGAACTGCATATATGCCTCCTGGGTTTTATGCTGGCCCCAGGCAGCTCACTGGCAGCAAAATTCTCACCTTCAAGGGTTTTTGTAGAGCTAAGGGCAAAGGTTTCTTCTTTCTCAAAGGTGTCTCCCACCTCTTCCCAGGCAGCAGCAAAGTTAGGTTTCAGTACCTTCTGAATATGGTCAGACACAGTCACTTCAAGATCTTCCAGCTAGTGGGCAATAAGCAGGAGTCAGTAAATAAAAGTCCTTTGAGTCTACAACAAAAATAGAAGGAACTGATCACTTGGCATTTTGTTTGCAAAGCATGCAAAGGCCTAAAGGAAGCTCTGTACTAGAACTACAGGTTCACTACAGGTTCCAGTATAGAGGAGCAAGAACAACCTGGCAGGAGCCAAGTGAGTGTAGGTTGAGTGCCAATGGCCCTGAGGTGCACAGTAGTCACTGCCACAATCAGACCCCTCGTGGAGGCCACACACCCTCTAACTTGACACATCACCCCTCCTTTCTGGCAAGGCTATTCAGTCCATGACTTACCAGTATTAGAACTAACCAATCAAAAAGTTCCTGAAACCTACTTTATAAATAAACCCAATCACATTAAAAATGATGCAATTATCAGTTATTCCCATTAATAGAGGAAAAAAGGTGACTTCCTTTGGTTTAGTGGTAAAGTACTCCATTTAAATTCTCTCTGGCACGATACAATTCCATTACAGGGAGGGACAGTCTAGGTCCCATGAGTTCGGTCAGCTGTTCTAGGGAAACGCTCTGTGAGAGCAGTTGCTGATGCTGTGGAGGTGCAGGGTGTGCAGGGAAGCCTCACCACATATTCATCATCATATCCATCTTCATCTGGAACTCCTGTGTTAGGGTCACAGTCCCGGACTGTAAACTTCATGGTACAGCTAAAGGTGCCTGCTACTGGAGGGAAGAGCAGGCAAATCCACATGAGTGGGTAGAACAAGCACATTTCCATCATCACGGTGCTCAGTATTGTGTTCCACATTTCAAGTGTTAACATTTGCATACCCTCTTCTAAGGTGGGCGAGCTCTTGGAGCAGCTTGCAAGCCGGTCAAAAAGCCAGTTTCACAAAGTATGATTGAAAATGTTTCTGTACTGTAGATTAGAAGAGCACACAGAAGAGATGACTTGAACAAACTGTTTTTGTGTTGATGTGAAGAAAGAGGGGGAGATATTTTGGGGGGACTTTCTGTCATGTTGGTTAAAAGAGCCAATATTTTGAAAAACAAGAACCACTCGATGCTCTAGGACCACAATAAAGCAAAAAGTACTGACAGCAAAGTACACAAACCATCGGATTAACACTGACCAAGTACAGGGTCTCAGTGCTGTCATTAGACTGTGGACTTTGTGGATCCACAGAACACCAGAATAAACTAAGTCAGCTTCCAACCTGCGGTGAGTAGAGAAAGGGAGGCTTTACCATTGGTAAAGTCTATTTCAGAGTGGAAAAGCAAGCAGCATTCACTATGTTTCAGATGACTGACAGAATTAAGTAGGGAATGAGTAATAAAAAATTGACACAATTTTGGAAAGTGAAGTTTTGCTGAAGACAGGGTTTTCCAGTTTAAAGGAGAGAATTTGGCCAACATGGATGGAGGAAAGGTGTCTATGATCTAATCAGGGATCTAGAAAAAGTTTATGTGCACAAAATACTAGAAATTGGAGCATTAGAAAGCTATTTGGGGGTTTGAGCAAGAGAAGAAAGGAGATGCAAATGTAAACACTTATGGTAGTATGGGAATAAGAGGTACTTTTTCCGTCTTTAAACATCCATCCATCCATCCATCCATCCATCCATCCATCCATCCATCCATCCTTCCATCCCACTGACATTTAAGTAAAGGTATAAGGGAATGCGGTATACACAAGAAATGAGTGACACATGACTTCTGTTTCCAAAGCTGACAAAGAGTTAAATTAGTGTGATTAATCTATTCTTGACACTACAATTCAATGCCACAGATCCTTTAGTATAAATTTTCACAGAGTGCTATGTGAAGCTGCAGGGTTAGGAGCCTGGGGATAAATTAAAGAGAGACAAAATGAATGGTAGACTAGATCACAGACTGGATCAGACTAGTTAACTTATATGTAGAAGACAAAAGAGAAGGCACTTAATAGTACTGAGGATGGACTGAGGAGGAAGGTGTGAGTGAAACCTTTGTGCCAGTTTTCATTAAACGATTTGGTTGATGCAATGAGGACTTGCAGGGAACCTGCCAAGAGCTACATTAAAAGTCAGTGGTAGTAATGCACCAGTCAAACCAAAGACGAGACAGACACTGGGAGACAAGAGAGGAGGTCAAAGGGACCCTTCAGGGCCAGAGCACTTTACTATCATCACAGTTACAGCTTCATTGAACAGGAAAGGCAAAACCCAAAAGGAAGAAAGAAAACAAAACCTGAATGAAGACCTCTTAAAGAGGCTTAAAAAAATGAAGCAAATTTTATGAGAGTCATCTGCTAAGGAGATAAGTTTGAGAAGAATACAGAATTGGAAACAAAGATCAATGCTGGAAGCTAAATAGGGAGAGGGAGGTGCAGTTGGGCTGGAGACAGAGTGTAGAGTAAACACATGTCAGGGTGGAAAGCTGGAGAAGTTAATCACTGAGGGGAAGACCATGGCACAATGAAGAGATACAGATCTGAAGAGATTCCTAGATAGCTGAAGGAATGGATGTACCAAGAGAGCAAGAATGAGGTTAAAGGAATGGGTCTGAAACAGGCTATCCATAATGATCCACCTAGGTCTATGAGCTGAGAGCAGATGCAATATCATACACAGGAAATTAAGGAGGATGGAAGTGTTAGGCAGTGAATGTAAAAAAGAAAAAGTGAGTGGCTACACACAGAACACGAGGGATGCTGAAAATTAAGGCTTTTTTCCTGGCTAAAGGAGGAAAAACAGTACAGAAGATCAACATTAAAGTTAACATCAGATGTAAAAGAGCCAGTACTAAGAAATGGCAGGCATCAAATGAAACTTAAGATAGCTCTTGGGCCCCAAATCAGGAAGGAATGAAAATGAAAGGTAGATTGGAAGCAAAGGGAAGGAAAACATGCCAGAGGGCCAGCCAACAAGCAGACAAAGTGTAGAATAAAGATCTCAAATGGAAAGTCCTGTCAGAGCTCAATGTAAATCTACTTGGTCACATTTAGGCATAGAGACCATGGTGAATCGGGTTGTTAAGGAGGGAAGGTTTATAAAAATTAAGATGCCACAGTGCTGACAGAAGTGACTGATGACAACTTAGGGAGATACTAGGATTGCTTAGTGGGGAATACAGGCGGTAGCTTGGTTCTGAGACTAGAATCCTGTTACAAGGTGGAGAATGAGTGAAGATTATGAGGAGGCAAATACATCTAAAGAATTCTGCATCCATGTTGACTGTAGTGGGGTGGAAATGGGAAGGATGACAGATGAAGATTATTGCATAGTGTGCCATCCAAATTGCTGAGATGCTCTGTGGATCTTGTTTGACTCGGAGTGACATGATACTTAGGGAGCCTGTATGAAAGTATCACAGAGAAGACAGAGGTTGGAATCTGAAAAAGAAAAAAGTAGGATTTTGAGTGGAAGGACAGAGTGAGTACAAAGAGTGAGTAGGGAAGGGCATTATAGAGGGCCAAAATGAGGAATGCTGAAAAAAAAAATGACAGAGTTGAATTTGGAGGAGAGACCTATGTGTTATGCTAGATCGCAGCCAAAGATGGAGGGAAGAAATGTGGCTCTGAGACAGTGTTATGAAGGACTGTCATCTG